AGCAATGTGAAATATCTCACTGGAAAAACAACTGATCTGAAAAATAGATGATTTAAAAGAGATTATTTAAAAATTATTGGACTATCTGATAAGCCTAGACATCATCTTTCAAGAAATGATAAGGAAAACTGCCCTGATATTCTAGAACCAGAGGGTAAAATAGAAATGGAAAGAATCTACCAATCACCTCCTGAAAGAGATACCCAAAGGAAAACTCCTAGGAATATTGTAGCCAAATTCCAGTGTTCTCAGTCCAAGAAGAAAATATTGCAAGCAGCCAGAAAGAAACAAGTCAAGTATTATGTGGAAACACAATCAGCATAACACAGGATTTAGCAGCTTCTACATTAAGGAACCAGAGGGCTTGGATATGATATTCCAGAAGGCAAAGGAGATAGGATTACAGCCAAGAATCACCTACCCAGCAAAACTGAGTATAATCCTTCAGGGGGGGAAGTGGACATTCAGTGAAATAGAGGACTTTAAAGCATTCTTGAAGAAAAGACCAGAGCTGAAAAGAAAATTTGATTTTCAAATACAAGACTTGAGAGAAGCATGAAGAGGTAAACAGGAAAGAGAAATCATAAAGGACTTACTAAGATTGAACTGTTTACATTTCAACATGAAAAGACAATATTTGTAACTCATGAGACCTTTGTCAGTATTAGAGTAGTTGGAGGGAAAAAATTAGATAGATAGATAGATAGATAGATAGATAGATAGATAGATAGATAGATAGATAGATAGCGGGCACAGGGTGAGTTGAAGATGAATGGGTGATATCTGGAGAATAAAATTAAGGGTGAGAGAGGATTATACTGGGAGAAGGAGAAAGGGAGAGGTAGAAAGGGATAATGGGATAAATAATCTCACATACAACAGGCAAGAAAAGGTTTTTATGGTGGAGGGGAAGTGAGGGAAGGTGAGGGGGAATGATTAAATCTTATTCTTATAGAATTTGGCTTAAGGAGGGAATAACATACACACTCAATTGGGTATGGAAAGTTATCTTACCCTACAGGAAAATAGGTGGGAGAAGGGGACAAGAGAGCAAGGGTATGATAGAGGGGAGGGCAGATTGGGGGAAGGGGTAATCAGAAGCAAACACTTCTGAGGAGGGACAGGGTCAAAAAAGAGAACAGAATAAGTGGGGATGGGATAGGATGAAGGGAAATATAGTTAGTTTTCCACAGCATGAATATTATGGAAGTGTTCTGCATGACTATACAAGTATAACCTGTATCGAGTTGCTTGCCTTCTCAATGAGGGTAGGTGGGGAGGGAGAAAGGGAGAAAATTTGGAGCCCAAAGTTTTAAAAACTAATGTTAAAAAATTGTTATCACATGCAACTGGGAAATAAGATATACAGGCAATGGCATACAGAAATCTATCCTGCCTTTACAGGAAAATAGAAGAGGAAGGGGATAAGAGAAGGTGGGGGAGATAGAAGGGAGGGCAGATTAGGGGAAAGGGTATTCAGAATGCATGCTGTCTTGAGGTTGGGGGAAGGATGAGATGGGGAGAAAATTTGGAACTCAAAACCTTGTGGAAGTGAATGTTGAAAACTAAAAATAAATTAATTAATTAAACAGAGAGAGAGAGAGAGAGAGAGAGAGAGAGAGAGAGAGAGAGAGAGAGAGAGAGAGAGACCGGCAAGCTGGCAGATAACAGCAACACAGGTCTGATCCAGATGATGGGGACAGATGAATCAAACCCCAAAAGAGGTGAGGTTGCAGAGGAAAAGCCTGGATGTCGCAGTGTGGAGCAAGGTAGAGATGGCATAAGAGCAATAGTCTCTGCCAAGGATAGCAAGGGATGAGATATCCTCCACAAAGAAGGAAACAAACATTTATTAAGCACCTAATATATGCTGGGCACTGGGCTAGGTGTTTTACAAATATTATCTCATTTAATCCTCACAATAACCCTGGGAAGTAGATGCTATTATTACCCCCATTTTATAGTTGAGGAAACTGAGGCAGAATGACATTATGTGATTTGCCCGGGGTCACATAGCTAGTTAGTGTCTGATGCAGGATCTGAATTCAGGTCTTCCGGACTCTGGGCCCCATATTCTATCCCTTGTGCCACTTCTATTCCAGAAAAGTACAGGTTTCTGTGAGGACCAGGAGAAGGAATAAGCATGAGAAATTCAGAAGGAATAAGTGTTTGCTAATGGTAGAGCAGAATTTCCAAAGGGCATAGTAGAAAGGGAGGACAGAGGGGGATAAGGAATTGGGAGATGTAGGTCTGAGTTCCATAGGAATGAGAAGGCTGGGAGAGATAGCAATGAGAATAGGTTCTCATTTCAGCATACAATGACTCTAAATCACAGAGGCTCATGAAGCAACAGGTCAGAGTTTACCAGTCAAAAGACAGGGGAAATACCTGTTGATCTCAACTATTCCCATTTGCCATGTGATGACAGATAAGTAACAAGCTCTCTGAACCTCAGTTAGCACCCATCTGACAGCAGATTGCTAAACCAGATTATCTGTAAGGGTCTTTTTCAACGCTAAGATCCATTAAAAATTTTAAAACAACATTATGTGGTACTCTAAGTCCTACAAAGTTTTCCTCATGATACTCCATTCAAGTAAACCACGTACATAGTTATATTGCAGTTTTACAGAGGGAAAAACTGAATGCCATGCAACTAATAAGGGCCAGCACAGCATTCAAAGCCCCTCAAACTCCAAATCCAGTACTTTCTATGACATTGTAATTCACTAGATTTGCAGGTTTGTATACTGATTATCATCACCATTATCATTCAGGTAATTATTAGCCTAGATAAATTATTATACATGTGAAATTAAAGGTAGGGATGGTATAAAACTTGGTGCTGTGCTCCAAGGGCTGAGAATTCCTGACTCAAGGGCATCCAAATATTTGCACATGTGTAGCCTTCACAATTCCTATGTTTACATTCTATGGGATTCCAAGAACATTTTATTCCATAGGTTTAGTCTGTTTCAGTAGGTGTACAAGAAAGCAAGAGGTATCTTGACTAGTTTCCAAAGTACCAGAGTAAGGGAAACAATAGTGGAGGACCCCTACGACAATTGATAGTGGTGAACGATCCCAAGCAGCGTTTTCCAACACATAAAGGGTTGATCATAGTCCAAAAGGGACCACACTGCCACTGGAGGGCAGCCAAGAGCCAGGATTAGGGACTATGACCCCAGCAAGCAGATACCTCCTGAGGAAGAGCTAAGTTGGAGGTTCTGTTTGTAAAACTTAAAAGTCAGTACATGTACGTAGAAGAAGGAGGAGAGTTAATAAATGTCATTTGAGGACACTGGGAATAATGCTAGATTACACTCTTGCATCATTGATTCTAGAAGTCCAAGATCAAAGCCAGGAAGGAACATATTATCAGAGGTGGTCTGGTATAGGAAGCCAGAATGAAGGTAGGCAGTTAGGATCAGCAGCCAAAGCCAAGGTCAAGAGAGCTAATATGCCAAGTACAAGGTCACAGAAAACAAACCTGAAGGTGAATGGTTCAACAAAGCCTAAACTGGCTCTGCCTGCCTTTGGGAACCCTTCCCCTTTCCCAGACTCTCTCCCCCAAAACAATCTGTGGGGAAGGGGAGATGGCTAACACCTCCCACCCTGATCTTTTTCTCCTTCTCCCTTGCCTTCTTTCCCTCCCTTCTATTTTACCACCCCCTTTTTGTATGTTATAGTAATTTCCCCTCTCAGGACCTCATTTTCTTCACTTATAAAATGATAAACACCTGGGCTTGAAAAAAATAAACTTTGCAAGGACCTGGTTGCAATCAGATTATCAAATGGGCCCACCTTTTGTGAGGCTCACAGAATACTGTGTGGAAGTTTGGTAGAGTGTGGGAATGAATAACCAGGTGAGGCTAGATAGGTTTTGTAATAGACAGGCTGTGGTTGTTTGGTTTCCCATTTCTCTGAGAGGTTGTTTTATATGGTCCTGGCTGCTAACCCCACGGGAAGGGTAGTCAGAAGCTGTGGCTGCCCGTGGAGAAAACATCTACACATTTCTCTACCAAGAACAGGGTTTGTTTGGTTTATTTTAAACATTTCCAAGAGCATTTCTATTTGTTGGACGTTTATTCTCAAAAAGAAGACAAACTTTCCAATATTTCTTCTGGAGATATGCAAATGTGGTGACACATACCCAAAGGAAAGAGTGGGATAGCCAAGTTAGAGGTGGTCCTAATCAGATCCTGATAGGATATTTTAGTTAACCATTTTTCCTTCTTACTTTCTCTGTTTTATGGGATTCTCTGGAGCCTAGATAGTGATTCAAAATGAAATTGGAATAAGCCATACTCCTGAAGCAATCAAAGAAAGAGATGGGGGAGGAGGGGGAAAGCTATATGTACAAAAATATTTGTAGCAGCTCCTTTTGTGGTCCCAAGAACATGGAATTAAACTGCTGTCCATCGATTGGAATGCTTCAACAAGTTAGAGTATATGAATGTAACATAACAACACCATACCATAAGAAATTATGGACAAGCAAAGAAGAAGACTAAAAGTATACTTCTCCAACTTGGGGCTCAGGTAATCTGAGATCCTGCGCTATAACCTAGCCTCTATGCAATTAAAAATAGCTTCAAAGGCAAGACCTAGCAGATTTCCTGAAGCAAATTAATGAGGCAAACAGCCAAACAGGGATCAAAAACTAGTTTCTACAGTTGGATATCTATGCAAATCTTATACCTACATTGTGCCATTGCCCCAAAGGAGGGAGAATGTATGACCTACAGCTTGGAATTTCCCGTGGTGCAGTCTGGCACATCTAGCTTCAAGTAATGGTGCCCTGTTGAACCTCAAAAGGCTTAGACACTATGAAGTCAAGAAAATGTCCGTTTTACAATGTATTGATGATATATATGTATTGATGTCATTTCCTTCTAACTCATACACACACCCCATCCATCACAAGTGAAGATCTTGAAGCAAACAAGTGTAGTCAAGTAAAATTAATCAACACAATGACTATGTCTGAAAATGTTTACCTCATAGCATACCGTTAGTCCATCACCTCTCTGATGAACAATGGGAGGTGAGCTTCACCACTGGCCTAAAAATGTCTTCTTCAGATCCTTCTTACCACCTGAAATCAGAGAAGTAAAATCAGGGAGCACAGCTTTATCTAGACAGTTCTCACCTTTTAATGTCAAAGCCATATTTTCAGACCATCTTAGAACAGTAGGCAGATTAGAAAATACTCAAGGTAAGAGGACCAATGATGAAGTACGTTGCCCACCTCCTGATACGCAGGTGATGGACTTAAGATGCAGAATGAGACATATACTTCTGAACATAGTAGAATTTGTTTTACTGGATTCCATATATTTGTTAGTAGGGCTTGACTTTTCTTTTTGGGTGGCAGAGAAGATAGGAGAGAGAGGAGGGCAAGGGGTAGAGTACTTTCCCACAAAAAAAAGAAAAGAAGAAAACTAAAGAAAAGCCAGAAGGAATCAGAGACAAGCAGGATAGCTTTAAAATGTACATGTTGAATTTATTATATACTTTAAAATTTAAGCAAGCTGTACATAATAGAGATCTACTCTTTCATGTACAATCCTTTCCTGCTCTACAACATGAAAATGCTCATTTTACTTCTGGTATTTGTTAAATTCAGAAGAAAAACAGAAGAAAATTTAAAATGGTCAGTATATTAAAGAAAGGTGCTAGTGGTCCCCTTTGGGTCTATTCCAAGTACTATTAAATAAGGCTGTGTGATCAAGGCTTTAAAAGGTACACATTCTATACCACAGGTCGTTGTAATAGGACATGGGAAGGCAATACCAAGAGGGGTGAAGACCAGAAATCCAACTTGGCAGATGAAGTTTGTTGGGTAAAAAGGACAAAGTGCCTAAGAGCTAGAGTTACAGAAGGAATGTACAAGGATAGCAGTATCAAGAGCATCTCATGGGAATAAACAGTCAGGATCTAAAGGTAGGGATAGAATCATAAAATTGTAAAGCTGGAAGGGGCATTAGACTTGTAATCTAATTAGTTCAATTAGTTGATTAGTTCAATCCCCCTATTTTTACATGAGGAAAATGGGGCCCAGAGAGATAAAGCAAATTGCCTGTGTAGCAATTCTAAGAAGGAAGAGACAGCAAAGTGAGCTCTCATCCTCACTAAGGTAAAGGCTCTTTACCCTCTGCCCTATTTTTCATTCCCTACTATGTGTCAGTGGCCCTAAGCCCACAAATGTTAATCATAGTCAGGAGGGAGAAGCTTGTATGTAAAACTGTTTGGAACTGAAAACGAAGTGCTGGAATCACCAGGAGGTCCATACAACTCCCTTTTATAAGGACGTACAGGATCATATCTCTGAAGCAGTCGGAGCTTCTCTGGCAAAAAAAAAAAATGTGAGATAAATATACGGTGTTGTTAACAATAGGGCCTTTCTTCTTCATTATGAAGCCAACAGAGGAAAGAATTGCTTTTCCCGGCCAGAGGGGAAAAGCAGCCCTATCTTAATGGGTAACCTTGAAAGCCAAACACAATAGCTGCCTATTATTTCACTCCTCTTTCCATATCACTGTAAGGTGGATGCCTCTCCCACCCCCCTCAGCCATTAAACTATATTCACTAATAGCCTTTTCATGTAAGGAGACTAATAACACCTTGAGACTGCAACCTTCCCTTCTCTAGTATGTGCAAAGATACCAGAGCGGCAAGCCAGGCAGATCCTTGCTTATGACAAATTCTGTTTCTCTCCCACATGTTTCTTCCTAGCTCTGGAACAAGTGATTCCTTAGCCCAGCAAGACTCAGGCACAAGTCTAATCTGAGGCTAATTCCTATCCATTATATGTAAGAGCCATAGACTCATTCTCCCAGAATCAAAATAGCCCTAACTCTATGATCCTATGTCTCCTCTTAATCAGTGCCTGGACAGAAGCAGGACACATGTGCTCATGATACGAGAAAGGGAAAGACCAGTCACCAGACACTACAGAGAAAGGTCGGTGAGCCCAGGAAGGAAGTTTCATCAACAGTTTACCCAATAAAAGGTAGCCAGACTCAGATTAATTGCAATAACCAGTTTCAATGCTAGGAGATGGAAGATGAGACACAGCTCCAAAAAGATGACTCAAGGATGGAGTGTCTATGCTGTCGGATACACTCATTTTGTTGGAGGGTTTAACTTAACTGTTTTTCTTTGTTATAGGGGAAGGTTCAGTGTAGCGCAGGGTCCACTGGGAAATGACTTGTAGCATTCAAAAACAGATTACATTTTTAAGGAAAAGAAAGTAGTTTTTAAAAGAGTTCATTTGATCTGCACATGCCCAGAGTCACTGCTCTGAAGGAAATTTCTCCAAGGAGAAACGTGTTCAATGAAGAGTGGACTTACCTGTTGCCATGGAGAACAATGAAGGCAGCAGCAGTGGTGAGATTTCTCCCTTCAGAGGGACTTCAGAAGAAAGTGGAGAGTGAGTATACCTGCACATAAAACACATAGGTTTCTATAGACAAACTGATTGCCACAGATTGAGGTAACTCTTTTTATAGCTCTATACTCTGCTTCTTGTCTAATCTAAACTTAAAGCCTAAACCTAGAACTTTATGAGCCCCTTTCTCATACTTTGTTACAATTCTTAGTTTTAGCAGACACAACTTTTTCAGACTCCACTTTCAGCACAATGTACCTGCTTTTTTTTATTATTTTGACCTGTTTGTGCTGTGATTTTAACTCCTATGCATCTGTTCAGGGATATCTCCTCAGATATACTCCTGTTTCCCAAACACAGAAGAGTTGAATAAGCATCATTAACCTTATCCCTGCTTAGTCTCTACCATTAAGTGGTGAGCTTTGGCAACAGCTCTACTGAAATTAGTGTAAATATAGTGTGGGAGTGTTTAATATATAGACTCTGGGTCTATGCCCAAAGCACATGGAGCTATAAACTCCTAGACTAGTCTATTCAGGACCCTAGATAGCTCCTGGTTGTGGTTGCTGTCCTTTTTCTGCAATGAATGACTCAGTTTAAATAAGTGGAAGAAGATAGTACAGAAATAATGACTTTTATCCTCTCCTTTCCTATTAAGGTCTAGCCTAACTCCTCAAGGGGATTTACCACACCTACACTGAGTTGCTGTCAGGACTATAAGACTGTAAATTCATAGGATCCAAAGAGGCCCCAAAGATCACTTAGTCATCTCATTATACAAAGAAACAGAAGATATAATAAATTAACTTGCCCTTAATCACAAAGGTGATAAAATTACAAGAGCAGGACTTGAATCCAGGGGGGTTTTTTTATTATTATAAATCACTGTTCTACACTGCTTCCATTTACTTGTAGTGAAGGTTACATGAGTATAAACAAATTTCCTGAGACAGGGAGACTGAAAAAAAAACAGAGACACAGACACATAGAGACAGAGACATAGAAATAGAGTCAGTGAGAGACAGAAAAGAAGTTTCCCTTCCTATAGCATGTAACTTGCTGGGGATTCTTTCTGTAACAACAGGATGTTGTCATGTGCATATGCACTTAAATATTTTAATTATCTGCTGGTATATGTCCATTGGTGGTGCAGCCTCTGGTGGAGCACAAATCAAGGCTAACTTGGGTCCAAAGTACTTAGATATGGATCTATGTCTGGAAAGAACCTTAGCATCCATCTAGTTCAACCTTCTCATTTTACATAGGAGAAAACTGAGGCCCACTGTTTTGTGAAGTAATTTTCCCAGGACCATACTGGCAGTAATCATCAGAGGTGGGATTTGAACCCAGGCCTGATTTCAAAGTCAGTGCTCTTTCCCCTGTATCATACCGCCTCCCTACTTCTTTAATTCTCTTTGTTGTGAGCCTCAAAGCCTCCTCTTACCAAGGTCTCCTTGGCTATGTAATCTTGGGTAAATTACTTACCATCTCAGATGCAGTTCCCTTATCTACAAAATGGAGGTGATAAAACTTGCTCCCCACCCCCTCGCAATGGAGATATTGTGAGCGCCAAATGAGGTAATGCACTCTTATAAGAAAGCACTATATGTGTGCATTATTATTTTTTTAGAAGCCAAATTATATTCTTATCTCCACTCCCCTCTACACACCCCTCCACACAAAAACAACCAGCTTTAACACACCCAGTAAGGTCCTATCCTTCTACATCAACATTACAAAAAGAATACACTGCCTGCCTGCCTGCCTGCCTTCACTAATCAGCATACCCCTGTGGCATGAAATTAAATACAAGACATAAAAGTTCCCATGGTTAATTCTATGGCCAACTGCTCTTTTCTGCCCTTCTCTCAGGCAGTTTCCTCCTCTGGAAAGTGAGTTAACATCTCCAGTTTCACTACACCACTAATTATATAATTAGAATGTGAAAAGTGAGGGGATTCAAATGAACACATTTCTCCCTAGAGTTTAGGTTCTATTCATCTTGAAGAACCTATTTTGAGGTAAGATGTACTATGCTCACCATCAAATCAAGGGGAAAACTGAGAGACTGAAAGGGAGAAAGTGGCCTTATCCAAAGTCACAGAGTATACTACTTGTTGGGCTCGACTATCTTTGTCTACTAACGTGAACTACTTATTTATTCATTCAACAGACATTTGATGAATGCCTACTAGTTGAGGGATGCTAGGGTCAAGGCCTTGGAGAGTATAAAGATATGAAGAGAGCTTACAATCTAGCAGGGGAGATATTATAGCTTTATTATAAGGCATACTGTAAAAGTATAGTAGCAAAATTATAAAAAGTAATGCAGAGAAAGATCACTATGGCCTCAGGAAATCAGAGAAGCTTCATGGAGGAGATAGCATTTGAATTGGACATCAAATGATGAATAGAAACTGGATATACAGAAATGTATATGGATGGATATGAGGAGAAACTTATACACCTTAAGGCAGCCAGGTGGCTCAATGGATAGAGCACTGGGCCTGGAGTTAGGAAGATCTGAATTCAAATCCAGACTCAGACGCTTACTAGCTGTGTGACCATAGGAAAGTCATTTAACCTCTGTTTTCATCAGTTTGCTCAACTATAAAATGGGAATAATAGCACCTACCAGGGTTGTTGTGAGGATCAAATGAGATAATATTTATGAAGTGCTTAGCACAGTACCTGGAATATTTTACTGTTGTTCTTTGGTTGTATCGAACTCTTTGTGACCCCATTTGGGGTTTTCAATGCAAGAGATACCAGAGTGGTTTGCCATTTCCTTCTCCAGTTCATTTTACAGATGAGGAAACTGAGGCAAATAGAGTTAAGTGATTTGCCCAGGGTCACACAGCTAGTAAGTTTCTGGGGCCAGACTTGAACTCAGGAAGTTGAGTCTTCCTGACTTCAGGACTGGCGCTCTATCCACTACGACACCTTGCTGCTCTGCCTGCAATGTAGTAGGTTATTTAACAAATGCAGGTTTCCTTCCTTCCTTGAGTGAGAACAGCAGAAAGAGCACTGAATTTGGTGTCAAAACACAGGGAATCCTATTTGTGCCATTTGCTATGTAACCTTAGAGAAGTCATGTCATAATTATAGATTTAGAGCCAAAAGGAACCTTAGAGGTCATCTAGTCAAACCCTTCATTTTACAGATGAGGGAGAGGTAACATGCTCTGCCCAAAGCCATACAAATGGGAAGTGTCTGAAATGGAGTTTGAAACCAAAAAGTCCCTAGATTCAGAGGACCTGGATTCTAATTCTGCCTCTGATGCTTACAAGCTATGGAGCCTTGGGCAGGTCACTTATCCTCCTGGGGCCTTGGTTTTCTCACCTGTAAAATCAAGGGGTTGGACTCAATGACCCTTTTAGTTCTAAAATTGTAATTCCAAATATGATATTTTTCCCACAATGCCATGCTGCCCCAATAAACTTCTCTTGGCCTCAATTTTCTCATTTGTAAAATAATAAAGCTGAACCAGATAACTTGTAAGGCTCCTTCTAGTACTAAATTCATGACCCTATGGTCCTGAGCAAGAAATAACTGGCTATAGCTACACACAAATACACCCACACACACAAACACACACACTTCATAGACAAGTAAATTATGATTCTGAGCAACCAAACAACTTACCTTTCCTACACTGACAAGTCAAAAGACAACATGGGCCTTTTGAATCCAACCCCCCATGATTTTGCTTTCTAGAGCATATTTTCTGTGAGCAATCAACAGTCTGTCAATAGGGAGTAGAAAGTACAGAGAATTTTACAAGACTCCCCCAGGCAGTCCATGTGTACATAACAAGCAGTAAGTTCATATTGCCAAAGTTGCTGTGAAAATGCTAGAAGACTGTGATTTTACAAGTCTTCTTCCCAAAGGAAACCAGGCTGAACATACCTTGTGACAGCCTTTCCAAAACCCACCCAGTCCAGTTTCCGTGAGGTTATTTGGAAAGATTTATTTTTAAAAGCAATGGCCTTTGCTGGGAGGTTGGGAGGTGGGGTGGGCAGAAAGCCATGGGGATATAAGAAAGACAGGTCTTCCTTTTCTGAATTCTTTCAAGTGCCAAGTGGCATCACAGAATAAAAGGGACCTGGGTACAAGAGGGGAGAGGAGAATGTTCTGTGTGTGATGTAATAGACCAATTACTCAATAACCACTTATTAAGTACCTGCTATGTGAAAAGACGCTGTGATAGATATTAGGAATACAAAAATAAAAATGAAACCATCCTTACCCCTAGGAGGGATACAACATACACATAGTTAAGTATACAGAAAAGATTTACAAAGTTAGTACAAGGTGATGAGGGGCAGAGAGGAGAGCGGCACCAGCAACTAAGGGAAGATGTCAAAAAATGCCTTGTATAGGAGATGGCATCTGAGCCGAGCTTTGAAGGAAGCAGGGGATTCTAAACAGCAGAGGTGAGGAAGGCAGGCATTCCAGGCATGTCATACAGACTGTGCAAAGGTACCAAAGGTGAGAGATGTAATCTTGTTTGTGTATGGGGAATAGTAAGCAGCCTGGTTTGATTGGACCATAGAGTATGTAAAGGAGAGTAATGTGCAATAAGCCTGGAAAGGGAGGTTGGAGCCAGATTGTGAAGGACTTCAAATGCCAAATAGAAGAGTCTGTATTATATCCCAGAGGCAACAGGGAGTTACAAGTCTTGACTGCATCCCTATTTATTTACTACCTATGCAACCTTGCAAATCACTTTATTTCTCTAAAATCTGTTTCTTTACCTATAAACTAGAAATAATAATATCTGTCAGAGCTACCTCGCAGAGCTGTTGCAAGAACCAAAAAGGATAATATGTAAAGTGCTTTGTAATTATGAAACCCTATATAAATAGAAACTATTGAATGTTCCTTTTGCCTAGCGTTCTTCTTCTTTTTCACCAACAATCCTTTAAAGCCCAACTCAAATGCTACTTTAACCATGAAGTCTTCCCTGATGGCCCTGGTTGATAAAGACCTTTCCCAATTCCAACTTCACATAGTATTCTGTTTTGCCTCCTTTCTTGGGAATTCATCACA